ATATGTTGGTGAGAAACATCTTCCTGGATATAATTATTGTGGTCTTGGAACTCGACTTGATATCCGACTTGATAATCAAGATCAACCATGACAAGGAGAGTATCCAGTAAATAAAATTGATCAAGCATGTCACATTCACGACGTTGCTTGTAAAAATCCAGATTTGCAACAATGGCATCTTGCAGATGTAAAATTGATTCATCTGTAGATTTTTCTGTAGATTTTGTAAAATCGAGTCATATGTTTGTATGAATTATTTCAGAAATCTTAGATTTTGTAAAATCGAGTCATATGTTTGCATGAATTATTTATAAAAAAAACTGAAATTAGGCCCAAAAACAAAATAAATTATTGTTTATATTAAAATCTGTAAGTTTGATAAAATTTATAATTGAGTTATATATTTGCATGAATTATTTATTTAAAATAACATTTATCCACGAAATATCTTCATTTTTTTCTCCTACTCTACAAATGTATATACAAATTAATATATAACGTCTCCCCGCGCAGGTCCACAATATTACCATCTTGATTTGTGAGTTTGAAATTCATTCTTGACAATAACGGATTATGTACACGCAGGTAAACTTGATTTATTGGCTCAGATACAATCCGCCAGCCCGGAGGGGATTGGATACTAGATGAATATAATATATACCCCTGCTGAGCCTGATTAGATTTAGAGAGGTCAAAATGGTAGCTGTTATCAATTATATCGCAAACTAGATTCAGTGCGATGGTGGATGTTATATTAACAATATTAGGCGAGATGTGACGACCTGTTCCATATGGATTATTATTGTATTTGAGAATTACTGGGGGTGGAATTAATTTTTTCCAGGAATTACATATTCTTTTAAAATGTTCATCAATAAAATCACTAACTGATTTTTTTAGCTCCTCGGTGTCAAACCCGGGTATTATAAATGTTGGTAGCTGTTCTTCTGTAATTCCGTAATATTTCATAAATACTGTCTTAAAAAATCGTTTATGACTTACACGTTGAATTTGGTCATCTTCATTAACTATATAAGAGCTAGAAAAATCTATCTGCCGGCACGTTTATTATTTTCTCTCTGTTAACAATAGCCTTATTTACGAATTCAAAGTCTGCTACAACTTGATTTAGATCTTGTATTGTTTCAATTAGTTGATTTTTTAAATCATCGTTATTAAAAGTATTGATGCTGGAAAGAAAATTTTTAAGATTATTAAACACGTGTTCGTTGTCAGATTTAATCGGTCTTGATAGTGAGTTAATTTGCTCAACATCAAATGTCGATATTCTTGCTAAACCCCTCCTACTTTGAATGAAACTTATAAAATAAGTATGATGCATGTAATTACGATAAGCACTTGCTGTAGTGCTCTCCATAAATGGAACTTTGTTTCTATATTCTGGAAGTTGTATAAATTTCTTAACATCTATGTTGAAGTCGGATCTCTGTGGTTCAGGTGGAACTTGATAATCTGGCGCGACTTCAGGCCAACCTAATACTGATCTAATCGAACTCTGATAAATATCTACAGCATAGTCAGGAGAATTTATTTCAATCACCGACGATAATGTGGGTTCGTAAACAGTAATTGCTATTTTTGACTTTTTCCCGTTTAAAGACTTCTGTGGTATTTTTTTACTTGGTGTAGATAGAATTGGTATTCGTGATTTTGGTGATCCTGGATAATCACTTTGTGATTGCTCAAATGGTTTTGGTTCTTTTTGTTTTGAGGGTTTTTTACTTTGTTTTTTCTCCTCTTTTCTTGATTGGACTAAATCATCAATTGTCTTAGCATAATTTCGATATAATGGATCATCAGCTCTAGCTTGTTCAACATTCATGCGTATACGATATAATACTTTCCGCCATTGTTCACGGGTTTTAATATTTTTTGCATGTTCAGGTTTCATTAATTTACCTCTTTGACTAAAACCATCCACAGCAAATTCAGCTAATTGTTGTGGTTTTAGGTTCTTAATTACTTTAACAGTTTCTTCATTCAATTTATCTATTAATTCAACTTCTGGTTCAGTGGGTAGTGCTTCAGCACCTTCTTCTGCCTGGTCTGCATATTCACGCATTTCTGGGACTGGCATTGCAGCAGCTATTTCAACTGGAAGTTTTTCGAGAATATTTTTTGTTTTCTTAGTTCTTTTTGCTATTTTTTTCAGTAGTTTCAACTGTTTTTTGTAACACAGGTTGAATATCTTTAGTGGTCTCAGTTATAGGTTTAAATAACTGTTTCGCATCCTCCTCAAATTCAACTTGAGATTCCTGACGCGATTGTAGTTGTTGTTTGACAGCATCACGGATAGGTAAATATTTTTCAATTGCCTCTAAACGTTGGCGAGCTATTTTAGTTGCAAGAGATTCACCAATATTCATTATTTATTGTAGATATTTTTAATTTTATATATATATATATATATATATATATATATATATATATATATATATATATATATATATATATATATATATATATATATATATATATATATATATATATATATATATATATATATGCATGTATATAGTCTGATTTTTATATTTTATTTTTTTATATTCCTGATATATATATTCATTATTTATTATATATATATTGTCTGATTTTTATATTTTATATTTTTATATTTCTGATATATATATATATATATATATATATATATATATATATATATATATATATATATATATATATATATATATATTCATTATTTATTATATATATTTGTTATATATATTATTTATTATATATTTTTGTTAAACATAATCAGTAGCGATCCTAGCGATTACCTTTCATTGGAACCCCTGATAGCCTGTGTGTCTTTTATGAAGTCCTAACATGTTCGTCTCTCTTATGACTTATTATGCGGCACTTCATGATACTGTTTCTTTTGGCTAGCATTCCTTTCTGGAATGTGTTATTTTGGGGGTTCTCCATGGGGAAGAGAGCTCAAGGCATGCTACTGATTATTTTAAGGGCGGGGCTATTCTTATAGACACATCCCCCGGTGAATTTCTAATTGACGAAAGGCGAAATATTAGAAATTCAGAGGACTGTCTACGCATTGCGGTTTCGACAAATAAAACCCTGTGAAAACCCTGTGGGTACAAAAGTGTACTCACGTGGCTGACACAGTGAGATATTTATCGAAACCTAAGGTGCGCCCCGCCCCCAATTATATATATAAAAGGCATCCCCGGGACCAAATCCATTTCGGCGAAATCTGGAATCGAACCACAGATGTATAGATGTAGATTCCAACGATCTACCCCTACACCATGCTGCGTTCGATGAATATAACAGTTTTAATTATTACTATATTATGTAATGGTTTTACAAATATAATTTTATTAAGATAGTTGGCCATTTATGTGTATGAATCTTACTAAAATATATAAATAAAATTACAAGGATAAAAATGGGAAATAACCCATACCGGAAATCGATTAACGTGTTTGAATAACCCAGATGTGTATACAATGAGAGATTATAATTCATTAAATTGGAGTATTTTTTGTGCAGTCTGCAGCTAGAATACATCAGCCGGCTATATGAATAATATTGAAAATAACGCAGAAATGCTTTTTTCATGGATCGATAAACACAAGTAAGTCTTGGCTTGTTTGTAAAGGTAACTGTTTACACCTGTCTGCTTCAAGCTATTTAATTCACCAGACTAATGCATCACACTTTGCGGTAGATTACGATATCTGTCTTAAGTTACCATACTATACAAAAAGGATTCAATTACGTCTGTATCGTCATCCAAGGACAGTAGGTATATAAACAACCGGCTGCGGAATTAACGGTAGTTTTGAGCAGCAGGGAGGTTGAATCTCTACATGATATTACTCGAGTTTTTAACGTAAAAAATAGTTCAATAAAGTCAGGAAAAAAAGTCAATAATAGTATAACAAAACTGAGCTAACCTCATACTATTTATTATGCGGTTTTTAACCGTCTGTATGGTAATATAAAAGTTTTTGGTTTAGGGTTATTGACCCTTTTTTCAGCCTCTATAGGAACCCTTATTTCAGGTTAATTTCACAAGCAAACTTTTGTAGGATTCACTCTCCCTGCTGCTAAACGAGTACTTATAAGTAATTACCAGGTAGTTAGTGGAAAGATTCCCCGACCCACTTATACTTATTACGGGGAATAATTTCTTATCCTATTAAAGATCAGTCATCAACCTCAAAAATTTTAATTACCTAAATTGTCCTAACTTCCTTCAGTTGTATGAAGAACTTTCGGATAATCTTAGCAAATGTTCCATGTTGGTTGTATATTAGTTATATTTTAACCATATGCCTTAAGATGTTCCTGACGATTTTATTTATTTCAGAATAATTATCACTTGTACTGCCATTAATAATCTAATTCACTGCACCATTCTTTCCAATGGGACTCCAAAAGAAATAACAATCCAATAAGGGTAAATTTAGATAAGTTGGTAAACTAAAGAGTGGATGTAGGGAGAAGAGAAGAATTGAATGTACGATAGGGAACAAGTATAAAAAATAATGTGCGAATTTACACATTTTAATACTAAAACAGAAAGCCGCGTACAATATAGTTTCAAGAATGTAAGATGTAAATAAACGTAACCTTACATTATCCCCATGGTGTCACGTCATTTTGCAAACAGACATATAACTTAGAGTGAAGCAAGGAAAGGTCATGATGTTATAAATTGTTAATGACGTGAATGAACAGTTCTGCTTTTCAGAGTAGTAATCACAAACAAGTTTGCAATGTGTGTGATTTGGATTAATAATGTTGCTTTAACAATGGATCAGTCATATCGCTTCTATGTCTTCGATATGGCAGGTTATAGTGATGTCTAGCACTGCGGCATGACGCCGCAGACATGTAAGATGATAACCCACCCATTCGCATTACTTAAACACGAGATCAACGAGTACTAATACTAACCTAGTAATGCTGAGAGACAAGTATGGCATCTGCTAGTATCATTTTTGTCAAAAGTATGACTATTCTGGGGATCGAACCCACGACCTTCTGCATGCGAGGCTGACGCACTGACTACTAGACCACGAGAGCGGTCTACCTTGAAAGTATGTGGATAATCACTAATGACTGCAATATGAAATGTTGCTATTTGAAAATTATTTTATATTGTTTGACACATATTGTTGAGTATAAGTTTTATTTGTTAATGAACGCAATATATGTTTTAACTGCATATGAAAATAATTATTGTGTATCATGCAAAGTTTATGGCAGTTGGCAGAAATGATGAAATAAAAACGCTTCGAACATCATAAGCCGAAAAATCTCTTAAGATAAACATGTAAATTCGCCGCGCGACACAATATAAAACGCAGAGATATTGCACACACTAAAGGAAAAGTATATAAAACAAAATAAGTGTAGAAAGTGTGCTGTCTTTATGAAAAGATGTCACTCTTGCTTCTACATAAACTGCAATTTGAAAATAGACATTAAAAGAGCTTTACAGCTGTAAGATCAGATAATGATGCCTATCATATCAATCAAGTTCACTCTGTTAATCGTCTTATTCAGCATGGCCGAAGGAGAATATATCCCATCTGTAAATACCAAATCCCCAAACCACAGACACAATTCTAGCAGAATACAAGAAAGATGTTGCAATGGTTGACTTAGAAAACAGCAAGAGACTAAATAAAACAAAGGAATATAACAGAACTTTGATGCAAAACAAACTTTCGAAGTCACTGTCAGTTGTTTAAAAGTTATATGTCTGTACATGTCAGGCTGCAGAAGAATGCCCAAGTAATATTACCTAAAATAAATAAAGTATTAAACCATAATGTATTATTTGCAAGTTTTGTTAAACTGTTATTACTCTATGTTCTCCGACTGTAATAAAGGTAACATTTGACTACTGTTTTAGATGTGTTTGACTACTGGAAGAAAACGAGATGTTCCCAGCGCCACCGTCCTCAACAATATCCAAAAGATAAATGAATTTGGTAAAGTTCCCGAGGAGCAATCGGATGACTTTATGTGTTCTGAGTGCTGTGATACGGAACTGTGTAATATCAAGGGCTGTTGGGAAGAAGGTGAGTATTCTCTCACTCTATTGAAAAAAGAATGTATACTTTATACGTGAAAGTTTGAATTTCTCCTGATGTTGTTTCGCAAGACTATGAGTACATTGCATAGGACAGACCAATCAAACTGACATACAGTTAGATATTCTGGCGATAAAACGTTATTAATTTTAATAAAGATGAATACATTTTATATTCTTTAGATTTTCGTCTATCATTTCATTTGGCTTTAAAATGCACTTCATTATGTAGTTGCGTAGAAAATATTATTCGTCATGCCGTGAAGTATAATTTTTTTTTATATTACAAGTGTTTCTGTTCTGATAAGAAGACCATGGCAATTACATCATCTTATGATTTGTAAGAAGTGTAAAATACACCTACAATTAAACGAGTTCTGACAATGGTTAGTAACGCTGATTCAAATATGATTTTAACACTACCTATTTATGTAAGCATTGTTAGGAGTCTAGGCTAATATTTATACAACGTATCTCAACCCATAAAAACTTTAAAACACGCTTGATGTCTTAGACACTTAAAGACCAATCTATGCATACCAACAACGGAAAGGTGGGTATCTAACGATTATTTTAAAGCATAAATCTAACCAAAATGTGATCCTAAGTTTCATTGCCATTCTATACCCGTACTGATCTGACAGCCTCGTTGTATTTCTACATTACATCACTTATTTATATACATGTATTTTTCGTCTGTGACCCGGTGTGCATTGTTACAATAACCACTGACAGTAATAAGACAATTCACTCACTGAAATGATTGTTTCCAGATTTGACTGGATATAATTTATGATTCTAACTTTGTCAGAATATACTGCAAGCACTGTTATATTGTTGTTAGTTTGGGCTTTAGCTTCCTTTCTCAAATAGGATACATATGGATGCCGGTCAAACTGATGGAGGAAGAACCCGGAGAGAAACCCGGTTAGAACACAAACACACGAGATGTTACTGACAGCTCTATCGCATACCCATATTGCCAAGTTCGAGAGTCGAATCCGCGGAGTGAGAGTTGACATGGCAATGATCGGCAAATGTGATCGCTTTACTCCACTCTTCCAATTGGGCCTCTGAGATAATCATCTAGGAAAATGATACGACTCCACTTAGTAACAAGCCTAGCTAGTTCAGACCTGTTAGTTTATTTGTTAGATAGAAGAATATGGTTTAGTTTTCCGACCGCTAAAGTTTTACTTTGTTTCTAATCTCATCACAATTGGGTTATCTTCCCATTCCAAGTAACTAGTAGCCCGGTTGAGAATGGCTTTAAACATCTTTGATAGATGACATTTGCTGAGGAATGCAAAGGTAATTAAAGCAGATGTAGCGTCCTAGTCTTATGAGATTACGTTCTAACTACCTTGCTCGTCGTGACCTTTTTAGTCCTATGACGGGTGTGCCGTAATGAGAGACAGACAAAACGGATTTTATTCCAGACTGCGACAGTTAGATTAGGTGTCCTCTTCCGTTGAAGTACATGTACATTTTCTTGCTGGCTTTAATAGGTTTGCCGCTAGACAGTGGACTACTATGTTATGCATGCGAACAAGAGTCAGCTCCGGACAAATGTAACAAAATTGAACTATGCAGCAGAGATTCCGTAAGTAATCATCTCTTTGATCAAATATTTATCTTCACAGTAGCCACATGAATACAAAATGTCAAGAACGAACAAATTATATCTGTTGAAAGACATAAGAACAATATATAAAATAAACAAATCTGAAAAACAAACAGCCAAAAACAACGGTTACATATTCCACATTAAAACGTTTATAGTCAGTGGGATCGTAGATTTCTTTTTAAGTATATCGGTATATATTTCTTAACTCTGGTGAAACATCGCTGCAATAAATACAGAAATGCTCTTTTTTGTTTTTCAAGAAACTCTGATTTTCTATATAAATTGACTAAACATATCGAAAATGATATTTCCTAAACGCACTTAAAACAACAATAACATTTTTTTCTCGTTCTAAATGCAAATTCATAGACTGGAACATGAAAGTGAAAAACTAAAATAAAATAAAATAAGGGATCGATGTGTACATTACATGCTATTCTTAATTTTGCGTGTTATTTAATATAGTCTTGTCATCTATCAACGCTGCATGTTGCGCTGGATATTATTTATAAGAGCGGCTGTAAACCTACACATGTAAGTAGATTATCCTATTTCCGTGTAATAATGATGTGATTGTTCTATATCTGCCATTTCAACATATAATTTTCTATTGATTATCTCTAAAGTATTGTTAACCATGATATAAATTTTAACTTTTTTGAAATGCTGCCTATTCTATATTAAATCAAAACGTAGATTCGACTTCAAAAATCATGATTCATTTTAATGGCAATTATTCGCTATTTATTAGGCTTATTTAGGTTGAGATCAACGTAGACATGAATAAACAGAATCGTCCTATCTCTCTCCACAATCGCACACCAAAACATTTATATGTCAAAATATATACAAATGCTGATTCTGGTTCACACACAGTGACCTGTTTGAGAGTTTTAGCTCATTAAGTCTACTATTGGATTAAAGCTGAGTTATGGGGTTTATGACTAACTGTAATCCTTAGAAGTTAATGAGGTTTATGTTTTAATATAATGCTATCCATTGCGCCAACAACATAAGTTTCTTTTTTGTTTTTGAGAAGAATTGCCCAGAAGTATTTACTCAAAACATCGATGACCGTGATGAGACAGTGGAATTATAATTGTGCGTGCTTTAATCTCTCATTTCTTCGAGATGACTGCGTCGTGGATAATGTTTGCTTGCGAGTCTATGCAGTTCTTCTATAACTTCCTCTGACATGATATCGCTCTGATTACGTTTGCAGCCTATGATGCCACGTACCAGATAAACATGTTCTCTGAAACTGTTTGGCTTGAGTTATTTTAAGTCCCTGTGCATGACTCGATCGCTTCCCGCTTTACCGCCAAGTTAATCGTGGTAGCAGAGATCGTTTTGCAACGTCTTCTTAATGGGCTATTGACTGGGTAGTGGCTGATCTTGCTCACCCAACTGTTCTTCTAAGGAATTCCACGGTCCGGTGTATAAATGTCATGTCAGCATCCATGCTCCACGGGGTGTGGAACTTTTTCAGACCTGTGCATGAACGTCCACGGCTCTCCCAAGAATTTGTCGATGTCTATATCCTTTACAGTCTGCCAGGCATAATTTTCTGTCGACTCAAAGGTCTTCGCAGCGCGTGTCGAAATCGCAATGTCTGCAATAATCAATGTTTAATACAGATCAACTCTTCATTTTATTGGTCGTGACTTTACCTGCAACAAAGTGTGTCACATACGAAATACCTTGACTTGATAATGAGGCGAATATTTTTGATGACCACCTCGACTGGGGAATTATTCGTAGTGTCTGAGATGGATTTAGTCGATATAATTCCATCCACACTTCCTATTACTGACACGAAGTTCAAGCAAGTTGTAAACAGCCACTTTATGAGCTGTGTGGAGATAACACACGAATTGATTAGCAGGAGGTAAACAAACGAATCGAAATATTCCACGTCGCTATAATGGGGATAGATGACGACAGCAACAAAATATGTGTCATGTCCATCGTAATAATTTGCTGATTCAAGACGCAGCTTTCGTCAGGCATGATGTGCTTTGGAAGTCTGTCTTTGAAAATAAGCTACTGAAATGAAGTCTAGATCCTAATGTCAAAGTTAGTAACAAAATTATTTTCTCACGTCCTTACCACTAGTACTTCCTGGCAGCCTAATGCCTTTTCTGGTGTCGATCAGTAAGGGCAGTAACAGTTCAGCGATCCCTGATAACAGAAGTCCGAAAAATTCTCCTTGTTTGGAAGGCTGCCCTACGGAAAAGCTCAGATTCAGACCTTCTTTTTGAGCCTTATGTTTGGTAAAGAAGTTGCTTCACGATGCATCAGCTTGATTCAGTCGGGTCCATGATTGCTGACGTTATCAGCCTGACCGAGACT